CCGCCCTCTGGTGGACAAGTTATGAAACGTCATTATTCATAACACGATTGAAGGGTGTTTCTCCTGTCTCTTCTTCACTTTTTTAAAATTCTCATTTATTGGGCATCAAAAATGCCAACACCAATATAATGGCAAATATCAATATGTCATGTTATACTCACAAGCACTGGATCCTGCCCTTTAGCAGGCTCCAAGATGTTAGCAATTTAAGAGATAAGAGGAAATAGGAAAGTAAATATAGGAAAACTGTTTATCTAATTAATTATTTTCATTCATAAGTAGTAGTTGGTCATTTTTCCACCATCTGTCAAATAATTGCAACAGCAGGCTGTGAGATTAACACCAGTCTTTTTAGTCCACATTCACCTGAAGTCACTTATCTGTATGGCATTGTAGAAAAAGTTTATTCCTTCTTCCAACAAAGATGACAGTCTTTCATGGTTCACAGCTTTTCATGGTTTAGGTCATTAGCTACTGTTTTCCTCCGCAAGCTTTACTTTGGTGAGAGACAGCAAATGACATCAACCTCACCCCTCGGTCTTCTATCTGAGAAAAAAAAAAGTCTAACAAATTAGCTCTTGCTAAACAAAGACCTTTCAAATACAACTGTAATTAAGCAGCAAGACCTCATCAAAAACTAACAATAGGGTATGAATTATGAAGGTAGAAAAAAAAGTAAATAGTCTGTAAATGCACAGTCAAAGGCTTTGGAAATGCTAGATAATTAAGAGTAGCTCCAGGGCGGTTCTTCCTTGCAAATCCTCAAATAATCAACACAGTAGCAACACAGCTACTTTGCTTGACTGGTTGGTTCACAAGACTGCCTATATGTAATAGTGAGTGGTAGCACAGGTCACCCATCTGCCATCTACTAATCATGAAGCTTATAGCCAACTAGGAAAGTTCTGATCTTCTGTTTATATAATTCATACACAACTAACTCTGCACCTCTGCACAACTAAACTGTAGATAACATTTACAGCAAGGTTTTTAGATGGCTTTGGTAACAGGAGAATCTGGACTAGCGATAAAAAAAGCACTGCCTTTAAACAACAAAAAGGTTTTGTGTCACTTCTTGTCTCTTCACTTGTACGAACTCAGTACAAAGCTTACCAGTCTGCAACCCAAAGACCAACATGGTTGTAACTGAGTGGTGGCAGAAGAGAGGAGAAAACAGTTGATTGATAAGTAAAGCTGCCTACCTCAGGCTCTACTTGGCTCTGACAGGGACAAAACAGCAGTCTGCTGCGCCTGTCGCTGACATTTGTAATAAATCATTGGCAATTTCATCATTCAAGAGCGAGAGAAAGGCAGAAGGGAAGAGCGATTAAAAAAAAGAAAAAAAAAAGAATTAGACACCTGTCTTCTAACATTGTTTATTTCCTTTGTTTTTACTTTGAGCTCAGCATCCTTGTCCATTCCACTCTCTTTTAAACTTTCCATTTTGGTCAGCTACGCAGTACAGAACCATAAGGTCTGGACAGCTTTACTCAGAGGAATTGTGCTTTAACTCACCTTGAAGGGTCACTTCACACGAATTACACAAAGACATATTTTCCCCTTTACCTCTAGTGGTATCTAGCCATGCAGACAGTCTCACTTCTATCTGCTTGGATTTAAGATATCCGTCTCTAAGATTCGTGCTGCTCCATCAATACAGTGAAAGTGAATTTTGTGCTATTTGATCAAACTGACATCTTGACCCTTAAGATGTAAAATTAAGAGAAAGAAATGTATTTTAGGTAAAACAAAACACTGTTGGCACAGTAAGTGTAATGCTCAATTAGTTCTTGTGCTTACTGTTGTTATTTAAATTAAATTTGCTCCGGAATCAGACAATCTCCCGCTACTGTTTTTCTGTCATTTGCTATTGGTGTGATTGACAATTGTATATTTTCTTGACGACAATAACAGTGCTGAGAATACTCGATAGGCTTCCCCATTTATCTCTTTGATGCCTGCATCTAAGGTTGGGAACACACTATATATTGGGCATTCATCAGTCCTTGGAAAAAAAAATCGGTGAGATTAGTTTTCTGACACATATTCTTTGTCCATTTAAGTGGGAGCAAAAGAGGTTTGACCGCATTCTTGATGTGATATTATCAAATATTTTTAGCTCCAGGAAAAATATCTGCAGCTGTAACGTAGTATGAAATCAATGACAGGCTCTCAGAGCTTCAGCCATTAAGCACTTACACATCAAGGTATATTTATAAAGGCAAAATGCAACAACAAACATTTGTGAGAACCTACTTCCAACACTCTCTTCCGTAACACACTGCAACGTCTTTGTGTTCTCTATGTGTCACTTAAAAAAATGTTTCCCTTTTTTGCTTTTCACTACATTTCTAAGCATCAAAAACCATCTGAAGAGCCTTTGCATGGGGATTAGGCCTGGCATAGAACAGTATGGGGTGTAGTGTAACTAGCATACACAGAGCAACACAACAATATGAAACTTGGACAATCACCTACCCTGCCTTTATAAAAAATAAAAATCTGTAGAGTTAAAAGCTCAAATTTATAATGCTGCTCTATGCTCATTTGAGAAACTAGAAAAACAGCTCAGGGTGTGAGCTGTTGAAAGGATTCCATAAAGAAATCCATCTGTTCTACATACACAAACAGTCTACAGGCAGAGTCACCTCTTATTTTAGCTCTCAAAGTCTCTCTTGCTCTCCATCTAAATACCCGAGGCGTCTATCAACCACCTCTGAAAATTTGAAAAGGCTGAAAAGAGAGGTGCGTTGGTCTGTAATCATTGTTTGTTGATATTTATTTATCTCTGTTTGAATCTTCAAAGTGAATCACTTAAGCAGACTAAAGTGGATGTCAACTTCTTTACCCCCTTTCATCGAAGTATGATTCCTTCACAGTCTTGGGAACAGGGACAAAAGATAATGACTTATATTTAATAAAAAAGATGACATAAGTAAGATCCAAACCAGTCATCCACTGAGCCAGTGTGAACTGTCAATGTGTGAAGTCGAATTTGCACATGAAAAGCGACGTGGTTTAACGTTAAGCGTTTCATATTTGATTCCACTACAGTGCCAGGAGAAGATCAGAGACTTTTCTCTTTCCGTGATCTATTTTGGTGCTCATCATTTTCCCTTCTCCAAAACCTGAGACAGATAATTATCCATTAAAAAGGGGAAAAGTGCAACATTTTGTCATTTCTTTCAAAGTAAGATGTTTTTAAATATGCCACGCCAGAGTGACAAGCTAGAAGGCCAATGATTACAATAATTAATACAAAATTCTCATTAAGTCATCAGAAAGAGTTTCTTAGCACTCACGGGCTGTTCTGCATTTACTTTAGAGGGGGGAAAAAGTTCTACTTGAAGTTGAATCCCATGAAATGTTCTCCATTCAAACTCGGGCAGACCCACGCTTCATTTATCCACAGTGTCTTCATGTGGCTATTTTTCACAAGCACCCATGAACTATTCTTTGCATGTTTCATGAAATGATATGAGATCATCTTTTTAGTTCTGCCCGTCTCTCATGTGCAGAGGCTTCGCATAATCGCTCACTTCCCTGATAAATCATGTCCCCTCTTGCTGTAGCCCAAACACCTTCCATTGTCAGAGCTCAGACTGAACCCGCTGCCGAGGCTGATGGATGATTTGCAAGCAGTCAGCCTCTTTCTAAAACCTTGTTAGATTGATAAGCCTTGTTCTTTAACCTTCTCACACTCACACTGAGCTCATGCAGGCTGGCCAGTCTAACACTTTCCCCTGTAATACAGGAAAAAGCACAGAAATAAGCAGAGCTGTCATCCAGGGACAACGTCAAGTCTATGTGTGCTAGTAAGTTGAATAATGGTTGTTAAAGTTTCCAATAGTTTAGTCTTAGACTCAGAACTGAAAACGCCATTCTTATTCTCAAATACTTCATATAAGAACAGCTCACTCTGTGCTTTCCCCCCTTCCTCAAACAAACAAGAAGAATCCCTTTTAGCAAGAACTCAGTGTTCTTACCTCTACATTATGCCACAGCTGACAATGACATTTACTGCATGGCTCCTTCAGAGATTTGGACTACTTCCACAGTCAACTGGCTAATTTTCAAATACAGTCCAAATTTTTAAACGTGAAGTTGTTTCTATGACAACTTCACGTTGACCTCCAAACTTAATATTAGGGCGAAAAAAAACCCCCACTTCTTAGAGTGTGTATAAATTCAATAGAAAATAAGAGACAAACTGCCCTTTTGATCTCTTCTAGAAAAGAAATGGGCCTGTGCACAGCATGGCGCAGAAATGTTATTTCACCAGAATGAGATGTGTCAACAAAACATAAGCACTTAAAAATGATCTTTGAGCAATATTACTAGAGCTGACGTTAATTTTTAAAAAACAGAGTATCACGGCCATTGGTTCAGTAATATTAAATTGGTTTTGGTTATGTGCTGAGGATGATTAACGCACTATGACTAATCTACCTGCTCTGGACCAAAACCAAGGTGATAATACATTTCTTTCCCCTTAATAGTACTGAAAAGCATTATACAAAAACTGTACAAGTTAGTAACACTGAGATTGGAAAGAAAGTGTCTGGACAGGATATTGTAAAGAGTTACAACTTCTCTTATTGCATTATATCTTACACAATTGTTTATCATTTGTCTATTGCCAGTGGACATAGCTGGAACCGCCACACATAAGGCTTCACATATGTTTATAAATCAGGAATCAGCATTTATTAATGTACAGCTACATTATACACTATCAATCATGAATATATTGTAGTGATTATACATGTGCGAAACATGAATGCTGTTTGTATTTATTCTTTTGAAGAAAATCAAACAAATGTTTCTCTTGAAAGCTCTGCTGTTTGTTGCAATGTTGTACTTCAGTGCGAGCAGACCTCAAATTGAGAATAAGGAGATGCATACAGCAGTAGAGCTGATGCAGTCAAATATACCCCAACATCTCTGCCTGTTTTAAGCACTAGCAGAAAATGAGCAATTTTCTGTTATTTTAGTTTGCAATTGTAAAGTTATACAGTATCAAAACAATTGTTATAAATAATTCCGCTTGGCTGGAGACGCTCCTGCACGCTGAATAAAATCTGTGTGTATGTGAACGCGTGCCAGCCTTTGTGGACAAACACAGAACTATCTGTGAAATACATTTAGACGGTCTCTTTCCTCTTTGGTTGACGTTGTAATTACCATTCAAACTAGCCAGGCTAATTACCTCCCTGTAAAGAAAAATAATCAGGTTTGTGCACAAATCAAAACTAGCCACTGATGCCACGGCCTAAAAACCAAAACAATCATCAAGTCTACTGGGCATGATTATTATGTTTTCAATTTAATCAAAACTTGCATTAAGATTTAAAGTCATCAATTATTCTTTCAATGACTTTTCCAAAGATTATTATATAAATCTGTAAAGTATTCATTATATTCTGTCAATCATATTCTCTGTTGAATTTGTTATTGTTTAATTTGAACCCATATTCCCACAGGGCTCTAATGTGATTAATTAAGGATAATTAATATGGCCGATTTATAAAATATGTTTCACTGTCCCGTGCAATTTTTACTTCATTAGTTAAACTGGATGGAAATGATATGTCAAAAGCATGAACTTTTCAGGCATTTTAATACTGATGTTTTAACATTAAAGTAACACATTTTAAGACTAACAGTGAAGGAGGTCAGGTAAAAAGTCTCATTTTCTTGATTTTCAAGTCAAGAATGCCAAATGCACTATTGTAAGTCTTTTTCTAACAACTAGAAATATGAAGAAAAGAACTGTAACCAGTATAATCAGTCGTTCAATAAAAGTCAACAGTGACAGTTAAGCCAGATTTATATTACAGTCACTGGGTGTCCAAAATAAACGTAAAAAAATATAGTACATAAAAAATATCCAGGCTACACAACACTGAATGAGCAATGTCAGTCTTAAAAATAAATATTTTTGTCCATGCCCTTTGCCAGCCAGCAGCTATTTCCATTCCTTTACTCTTTCGCCCCGTATCTGCTTTATTGTGATGCTAAACAGTGAGTTTTGACATTCAGAAAGGCCCTGCCAAAGGACAGGCCAGTGGATGCAGTAGAGAAGAGAAGGCCTTAATGGGTTCAACTGGAATGGAAAGCATCTGTTAGTCTCCACAGGCTGGAGGAGAGAGAAATGTCAAGTATGGTTATTATAGAGCAGACACCAGCTCTAGGAATTTTCACCTGAATGAAAAACAGTCTCTGACAATGCGCATGCACGAGCTACATCTGCGCACACTAATGGCGCAGGGATGGCGAAAAAAAAGCCACTCACGCCACGGTGCACATATAAAAAGTAATGTGTCATACATTCACACACGAACATACAAAGCACATACATAACACTTAGTTCTACTGTTATCAGTGTTGAACACAACATTTTTCCTGCAGGTAGCCTGTATATTTTCCTACTGCCTGGGATGACAGCATATTTCACTTCACGTCGACTGCTGTGCTGCATGTTCAGTCCACTGTGTTTCCCAGACAGAGGGGAGAGAGGCTGCAGCTTGAAACATAAACTATACCCAAGAGAGGTGTCATTCTTGTGCTATCAGACTTTTTCTTCACTGAAAGACAGAGACTGCCCCGTCTGAATTATTTTAACACTTTTAAATCATGTGCATGTTCCTAAATATATTTTACATCTTGCATATATGGCTTCTTTGGACTCAAATGCCAAGTGTGACACTCATACTGTTGAGCCCTGCATACCACAACCATCACCTTTCTTCACTTAGGGGTTGTTTTCCAAGACACTAAGAAGAATATTTCTTTTAAAAGCAAAAGGAGTGCTACTAAAATAAATAATTTTTGAGGAATGAAAAGACTGGTTCAGGCTGGGAGAGAATTAGGTTATTAAGCTCCAAATGTTTCATTATAGTATGGTTTCTACAAAGCTTAAAACCATACATGCTTAGAGAATATTCTCACTAGGAGAAACTGTCATCATCTGAATGGCAGGGAAAATCACATACTTGTGAAATGTTCTTATGTCCGCAGAGGGCATTTCTTCACAGGAACACTTGAGCTTGTTTGCTAATTTGTACCTCCGAGGATGCTAATCAAAGTGAGTGCCTGAATAATGAAGCTCTTTAGCCCAGAGGCCAGAGATACATACATGGCCCTGTGCCTCAAGGCTGAGTGTCTACAAGAGGATGTGTCTGTGTGTTTGTGCGACTGTGTATGAGTTCAAGTGAATGCATGTGACTGCATGCACTTTAATGTGTGAATGAGCCAGCATATGGACATAAAAGGGCAATATATATAGTAGATAAGCAAAGCCCAAATTCTGCTCTCTAAGGGAGGGTAGGATCCAGCATCAAACAGATCTTGCTGCCTGAGGGCTGGCCTTCCCGTTCTGTCGGCATGGAAACTCCTGTCGCTGCACTTAGAGCTTCTGGATCAGTGAGGAGACACAGAGCAGGCGGAGTGGCAGCACAAGCGACTTCCACAAAGAGGAGCAGAGAGATGACGCAGTTTGGAATAATGTTTTCCTTTTATCAGCAAAGCTTAAAAAGTAAGCACTGGGATCACCTGTAACTTTTTCTGTGCGAGTCTGGTGGACCAAAGAATGATATTGACATGAGTCTTTACAAGAGGGGTACTAGAATTTATCATCTTTAATCACTCCTGCCTAAATTCTTGTCTTTGAATCAAGAAAGCTTGATAGCAACATTCAAAACACATGCAAACAAATGTTGTTTGTCCTGCCAAGGTTCACAGTGTAACCAGCTACAAATGATAGACTGAAAAACAAAATATGAGAGGCAGCCAAAAACAAACAAAAAAAGGCAAAGACAAGACTGATGCAGAATGTTAATCTGTGTGGGGAAAAAGTATTTATATAGCACTTCTAAGACTACTTTAACAAAGGTATTACTACAGAGACAGAACTGAAGCACCTCTCTTTGTAGAAAGCATAGATATAAAGAGACGATAACGCTCATTTCCCTCCCATAACAACATAAGTTCATATAATCATCTCCCTAGCTCGGTCTCTTCCTGACGGCTATGTGATATGGCTGCTGGCACTGGTGAATGTGGGAGGACCAGGAATGTGTGTGGCTGGGGCGATAAGACTGCTGTAAAATTTAATTAGCACAAAGCCATGGTGAAAATGACTTCATTTCTCACTGCATTATTAACTAGAGCAGTATGTAAGAGCCTATTCTCAATCAATGTAAATAACACGCTCATGAGAGAAAGGAATGTAGAGGAGAAACAAAGAATATGAAGACAGCAAGAAAGAAGAAAGCAATGAAATACTACAGATTTGAAAGAGATCAAAGCAGTTCTAAGAGTCACATTTAAAAAATTCAGGTGTGTATTTAAACCTAACCGCTTATGAATCATCAGACCTTTGTGCATTGACACATAAGATGTGTATCTAGGCAGTCAGAAGACGAGACAGCATGTGAAGAAAGACCAGGAGAAGCTCAAAAGCCAGCTGAATAAGAATCGAACATTAAAAGCTTCACCTGCTGTTTGGGGTCTGAGCTGGTGTGAATGGGCTGAGTGATTAGGGTCCTTGGCTCGACATGCTGAACACCACTTTCTATTTCACGATTCACAGCCTTTATTACAGCCAAGCTTCCTCATAATCCAGCTAAAAGTGGATATCTGAGGAGCCTGATCGGCTTAGGACTTGGCTAAAATGTGGGATGTACAGCACAGAGACATGGAGCAGAGTGCAGAGGTGTTCGTTATCATCTGTTTTCTATTTAGGACTGAACAGTGGAGCTCGGTTTGTGTGTGTGTGGAAGCATGTGTGTCCAGTCTACAGTGACCTCACTAGCCAGACTAATTCACTTCCTCATCTTCTTACATTCTGGAAAGGACTATAAGATAAAAGGGAGTGCCATTTCTTACTGTAATGATCATAGCGCATGTAACCTCTCTTCCTTTAACTGGCGGGCCAATCAAACACATCTTTGCATGGAAATAATCACATATACAGCAATTAATTTTTTTTCCATAAATCTCAGTCATTTTCATTTTTGCATTCATATATCTCTGCAAATGCACCTTCATGCTTTCTGTTTAAGTCTGTTGCACATGACACATTCACTGTATGCCGCCCATATGTAAATTAACGCTCACCAAAATTTGTCAGAATGTTTTTTTCAATACACCACTAAATAAGGATGGAAGAAATTCATACATGCCATTAATGAATAATTGGTAACTTTTGCAGAAGTTGTCCAATTACAACAGTCATTAGTTTTGACACAAAGTGATGTGTGCCCAAAAAAAAACAAAAAACCCTTTCCAATAAAAAACACCTCTGCATATCCAGGAAGCAGCAGCCCATGTGGGAGCCATTAAAAGCCATTTTTATTACCTATGTCCTTGCCTTTAAGGCAGTACAAGAAGTAAACAGCATCATGATTACATCGAGTGTGACATGTCACATAATCTTAATTACGGCCTGTATTACACATGGGGAACATGGTGCATTTGCAAATAAATGCCATACAGTTGCCCTAAGACAGACACTAGGTAGATGCCGCTTCTGGCCTTCAAATTAAGGGAAGATGGATTGTGCATGGACATTGCTGGTTAAATCTTTAGACCACTACGTGTATGTGGCAATTAATCGCCAGCAGAGCAAGAAGAAATCCTGTGGCCAGCAGATCAGACTGTTTGACACAGGCTGCTTACATGTGTGAATGAGTGCAAATGTAAGCACGTGGAGGGGCATTGTTGCAAAAGATTCTATTATTCTCATCAAAGTCTGGATAAAAAAAAATGAAATCGCTTCCTTTTGGGCTCTCTACAACCCTCAATTACTATTCCACAAGTCGCACCGTAAAGGCTAGACCTAATTACAACAGCCACTTTGTTAAGGTGCCCTCTTGCTCCATCTGTTCAATGAATATGTGCACCGGCTCAGACATGCACATGCACACACACCAAGTGCAGCACTTCAGACAGACAGGCAAAGGCAGGTCAAGGTACATTTTCCCATCTGGATATACCTTTGTCGACAAGAACAGTTAAACATCTAAAGCACCAATCAAGTGTGGCAATAAGAGACACATTGTGACTCCAAGTGGCCAGATGACTGTGGACATGACTACAGAGAGCAGTACACCTGTCCAAGCCTTAGACACGGCTAACAGTGCAACACCAGAATGGCCTTTAACCTTCTCCGTGCACATGATTAAAATACAGGGTAAAAGCTGACAGTTTTTATGCATGTATGCATGAGTACGTGTGTGTGAAAGTGAACATTGTTCCGGCTGAGAAGCTTCTGGACAATAATCTGTCACTTTAATGAAAAGCGCGCGGGCCGCATGTGATGTGTGGATGATATATGATGACCAAATGTGGATAAATCAGCAACTTTTACAGTTACACTTTTAAAACAATGACGTGTTGCATCAATTGAAATAGATCTAGTAAGGAGAGAGAGGCTGTGCTGCTCTTTTTTTTTGTCTCGAGTTCACTGAAATGTTTAATAATCCCTTTTTTTCTGCTTATGCCACGTCTGGAGAAAAGCGGCAAGGCAAAGAAGAAATAAAAGAAAACTTAAAGATGAGACTTAGGAAGTTTTGAGGGACTGGTAGCTTTCACACATTTTTCTTGAAAGAACAAGAATATGAAAAGGATTGAAAAAGCCCATATGCAATCTGCAGGATACAGTCATCCTGCAGTGGAATCCACATATCATAGTCTATAAGTGGCCCAATCAAAAAAGACGAGCATCTAACGGCAGATTCCACTTGAGTATCCAGCCTCAGGAAGCTCCAGCAATGCTAGCTTTTCACCCACATGTGAGCACACGAGAACACACAGAGTCGGGTGGAAACAAACTTTCTATTTTATTGTACTTTTTAAACTTCCATTTTAACTGCACACTCACCCCAGTTTCATCGTAATGATTTTCTTCAGAACAACCTCTCAAAGACACCGTGGGTTGAGTCTCAAATTAAGTCGATTAGTCATCTTCCACTACCACTTGCACCTATACCCAAGCCATTTAAAATCAGCACTGAATAGCCGCCTGCACGAACCAAGTATCTGACATTACACAGAAATAAATTCAGCAAAAAGGGTCATAAAGTTGACTCGTCAAACACATAGGACAGAAGATCTCCAATAACTAGAGGCTTACTTTTAAGCATTAATGCTTTCAACTGCAAGTAAGAAGGAAAAAAACTTGGTAAAAAGGGCTAAGTGACTTTGTGAAGTGACCTTTACATCAATTTCAAGCTCTAGTTCAGAGCTATATCACACATGATAATTGTTAGGTCGGGTGTCACTAAAGACATCTGAAGTAATTGCTCTTAAAGACAAAGACATTTACTCCTTCATAGATCCCATTCCACCCCACACTTTCCATAATAGATCATCCAAGACAAGGGCATTACACAATGCACCTCTGGCTTGTGCTGTGTTGCACACTCTCTGTGTTTTCCTTTTCTCTGTCTTTCTGTCAAACACGACCATTAAACATGCAGCTGTGTGATTTCCCTAGATATGTACATGCACACGCCAGCTTGGGAGTCAGCAAGGCTGTGATGAGATCTTGCAAAGAAGCCAGAAATGACCAGAGAGCGCCTGGAGAGATGTTTTCAGAAGGACACAGTTAAAAAGCTATGGCTGCTTTATAGATTCAATAAGTATCTTACACCTGTGTGGCTAACCACCATCGATCCATCATTCTGTGGAGCCCAATCCAATTTAGAGTGTTGAGGAGCCCCAGAGCCCCAGAGCCTTATCCTAACCCAGGCCACAGCCATCGTAAAGCCTGCTTACCTTCATCTCCTAAAGTCTGCTGGTGTTTCTGTGTACTTTTATGTCTATGTGTGTACGTGTGCTCGGGGAGACTGCAGACCTAGCTAAACACCTTAGCTGCTGGCTCATGTTAAAGTGTGCTGAGCCAATTTAGGGGTAGACCAGGAGACAAGATGTGAGAGACAGAGGATGCTGAGGAAAATTAAGGGACTCAAACTGGGGCCCAACCTCAAATCAAAGAGTGCATGAAAGCGAAGGGGAAAGGGATAAAAAGAGAGAGACTGCATTCATTTGTGTGCAACAAACAGTGTAGGAGACTGCAAACCATCTTCTAATCCTGTTTTCTATTCCGTGGCAATCAAACTCATCATGACTACAAAGCACTATAACCATTATCAAACTACTCCACAGTCTCATCACACTGTGATAGGCAGCATTCTAAAAATCTGCCATCTGATTTGTTTGGCACCGACAACAGAGTGGTGTACTCGAGACTCCCTTGATGCAAAAACTTAATGGCACCATGCATGTTCAGATTGACCATTCAAATCTCTCTCCTTTACCACTAATTACAGTATCTTCTGGCACAGATGTTTCTGTTTTAATTCTCTTTGCTGCTCCACTGGAGTGAAGCAAGACCCCTGAGATCAATTATTAAAGGGTATTTAAAACAGTGGGAAAAGGAGGTGGTAGCGTGGTGTGAAAGTGAAAGCAGCTGTTTAAGTGCTTGTGCCGCAGACTAAACTTCATCACCTCCCAAATAAACAGAGAGCATCCTGTGGGTTTCACTCACTCCAACGACTAAACTCTGGGCAATTAAGGCCTGGATCTCTGTAGGAGTAAAGGAGAGAAGGGAAATGGGAAAGAAGGGGTGAGGCAGGAGCAGTGGAGACACTCCATACCAATAACAGGCAATTATGTATGGGGAGGGCCATTGCATGGCCATGAGTGTATAGAAAAAGACAGCGGGGATATGGGATGGTAGGGAAATGAGGAGGAGTGTTATTTAGGAGGCAGATGGCAGAGAGGGGGAAATTAAGATGAATGGGCACTGAGAGGGCTGAGCTGGTGCTGGGGCTGGGCAGAGAAAAGTAATTAGCTGTGTTTGCTCTGGGAGGCTGGCAGTGAGTATGATGCCTGCAGTGACAGGCTAAAGCCTTGAGCATTATTAATCAACACGCCATGTCTGAAGCTGCCAGTAGGGGGCAGCTGGGTCAGCAACCTTCCAGCAACTTCTTACCTGCACCACACCCCATGGGGTCTTTTGCACCACATGGACACTGAGCAGCAGCTCCTTTACAGTTCACACTGTTATTATTTACTCTAATCCCCTGCTAATAGTACAAAGCTTTGGCTTGTTCCCTCTTAGAGTTACTGGCTCACTCACTCGCTCTCTCTCTCTCTCTCACACACACACACACACACACACACTGCACTGAGTCCATTTTTCTCTCTCACATTATTCCTAACTTTCGCCCTTACCAAGTGGCTCTATCTCACGCCATTTCTCTCCATTTCTTGTGTTACAGCCACATCTGTCTCTTTCCTCCCACCCTATATATATCCCTCCCCCTCATCCCTTTCCAATCTAATTTCAGATAAGCTGTAGCAGAACAACAGAGCCAGGCCCTTTATCATTGCCATCAATGATGTGGGTGGATTGAGCGTGAATAATTTTATTCATGTGTGCCTGCACTTGGCCGACTGGGATTCCAATTACAAATAATAAGAGGTAATAGGGTTACAGAATAAATTTTTAAGTGCTTTGGTGATGATTGCAGAACCTTTGACAAAAGAAAGCTGTTGTTTACAGCTAAACGCACAATATCTGTTCACAAGTATGAGTAATATAGGATAACTGAATTTAGCATAATTAGTAGCCAATCCAATCGCCATTCTAAGGACATTATACAGATAGATGTCTTAACATTAAAACAATAATATGAACGTACTAAATGACGATGATGAATATTAAATACCTGAAGCAATCTAGGCTACAAGTGGCTTATATCCAACGTGTATCATAGCACTTTATCTGTATGCCTCAGCACTCTTCAGAAACACACAGTCCATAGGTCAGACTTGATAAATTCCAAAGAAAAATGTTATTCTCTCCTGGATTTAAAGAATGTGAAAGAACCCAGCTACTACAAAAACACTGCATTCAAAATGCTTCACTTACTACACAATTTAGGAGTCTTATCAAACTGAGCCACCAGAACAGCCCACACACTACTTTCAGAGAATTTCAATCCTAACTTTCTTAACATCCACACATAGCACCGACTCAAATTGCTTTACCAATAGTCTTGCATAATTGCAGAAAGAACATGCAAGGTCACAAAAAGCTAAAGGAACAAATAACAAGGTGACTTAACACACAAAAAGGCAGAACATATATGAATTTACAATATAACACATGCAAGAGCAGTTTAAGGCTGATTTCCAAGAGCAGATGAAAGATAGCGCTGAACGTGCTTTAGGCTTTAACAGTTTTTTTATCTTGTGTTTTTACCATAATTAACAGGCCTGAGGACCTGGCGGAAGGAGCTGGGGCTGATCGTCTGGTGGTGGTTATCTGTAAGGAGGGCAGCGGACAAATAATGCCAACATGTACAGTACTAAGTGGGATTAGAACGATGATGTGACGGCACTGGCCCAGTGATGAACAGCTGTGAAGTGAAGTTCATTAGCAAGAAATAATGTTTTTCGAGGTACAGCTAATAAGTTTAAGGTGCCGGTGTCAATGTTTAGTCACCAATCATTTCCAAACGCGTTCAAATCACATCTTGGATTTACATTTAATTTTTAACATCTTTCGTTTGGAATTAAGAAACCCAGAGGGGGGAAAAAATTAAGATCCACACATCAAACAGTTGTAGGAATTGTGTCAGCTGAAGACTCTGGCGCTGCGCTGCTGGCAAGAATGTGTACAAACAACAAACCAGTGTATTTTGCAATTTACTGAGAATGAGAGAAAATGAAGCTAAAACATAAGAACCTGAGGATGCATTCAATTTGCTCAACTTTTAAAAACAAAATAAGAAAAAATATAAATGCATGAAGGTGACAGGTTAGAGCTAGAAGTCATTATTTAAACATCTGATTGGAATTCCATCAGTGTTTTGCCAGACAGTGTGTGTACTTGGTTTCTGTGTGTGTGGGTCGTTCTGTATAAATGTGGGATATTAGACTCACCTCTGGGTCTTGGCGCTCTCTTCCTGCGGTCTCTGAATGCAGCTCCTGACTGTAGGGCTTCCAGCAAACTATCCATCACACCTGTCTCATCATTCTCTAAAAAAGAAAAAAAAAGAAAAAAGAAAGAGGGATTTTAGAAGAAATGCAAGAGGGGAAGAAACTAAATTCTATAACGTGTAATTTTGTTTAGTTTGCCTATACTGACTGTGTCAATTTAGAGTACATACACATTACATTATGCCTACTATAAAGTTATATGTCCAATATATGAAGAATCTAGGTCCAAGTCCTGCATACTGTAAGTCAGCAAGTTCTTATAAACAGCCACAGAATTTCATGTAATTTTTAAAGTGGTCTTAAACAAAAGCCTTCAGCCTTTCAGAAGATATTTCAAAATTTCTTTTGGAATTGGCTCACTCACTATCAGTCCAGTCCTTGTAGCTGACCATCTTTAGAGGAATTTTTTTTGTGTGTGATTGTGTGTGTGTGTGTGTGTGTGTGTGTGTGTGTATTGAACTACTTAACACTGATCTATGAATCATTCAAGCACAAAAAAGGTACCCAACACAAAGGATGAACCAGTGTTGTGTCTACATGCATTAAACTGTATCTTTAGGCACTTTGTTACTAGCACCCTGTCACTAAGACACATCATTTGTTCCCATCTTTGTGCCCTTTAGTTGATGCATCTACTGTTCATCAACAGTTTCAGTGAACTGTTGGCTGATAATACGCCATTTTTAAGGGAAACGGGATGAAAACGTTGAGGAATGCCAAATTACACAAGAACTGGTCTGCACAAAGTAAAATATTTGTATCAAATAGTCATCAATATGTACTCAGAAAGTCAGGAGACAGGAAAAACACTGAGTTATGGAGGCATGTTATGGAGGCTCTGTCATGGTTTGGGCATGGAGTTCAACCAATAGTGTTAGGAACCTTGTCAAAACTATACCTGAAGGCTACTTAAAGAGATGACAAGAAAGCTGCCTAAGAGAGTACAAGTTCTGTTTTGCCTTATATACTGCTCCATGCATGTCTGGAGATTCAGTAAATCACTAGCAAAATAAAAGAAATAAGAAGTGGTTCAAGAGTATAAGGGAATGAACAGAATGTTATGAAACTGAAATACATCAAAGTTGTGAACATCGTGTTTCAGAGTATTTAATTATTTTTTTGACTTAAAAGATCGAATCCTTGCTTTGTAGTAGCAGAGCAACAACCAGAATGCTGATAATGTGTTGAAAGGGAAATACTTTGACATTTAAATCATGGTGTTTTTGGTTGGTGGAACTGAAAACCTGGCCCTGACACCTGAGGGAAATGATAGACCTGACCAGTAATATGCGTTGAAAATAGAAAGAAAAACAGCCAACAGCCAGGTATACTATATGGGCATGTAAAGGGACAAAATACACTGTGTTTGCCATGCTAATGTGTGTGGGGGTGTTTTCTTTTAAATGCTGTGGTGTGTGTTGCCTATAAAATTTTAATTGTTTTGTCAAGCTTCCTTGCAAATATGAAAAGCTTTTCTCCCTTAGTCTCCCTTAGACATGAAGTATGTGGTTTTCTATATCCAAGTCATTTTTTAATAATTAATTACTGAGTGGCACTGTTTATCCATCAGCTGTTTCTCTGTCTAAGTTAAGCACTAACCAAAGGTTAACTTAAATATTAACTTACTGGATGTAATTAACAAACACCATATTGCATCATATTTATAAAATGCAACACAGCAAGTCAGGTTACAAAAAGCTTTTTAATTGCTTTTCTTAATTCTATTGTGACATGCAAACAATAACGCTGGCCTATTCAGTGAAGTTCACTGACCACAGGGTTGCATAACTCTGACAATCATATGACATTTTTTTAAAAATATTTTTACATTTCAAATGAAAATAAGCACCGTTTAACTGTTGCTTTACTTAGGCAAGTACAAGTCAACTTAATCAGAGTGCAATGCCCTAGAAAAGTTGGTACAGCTTTTTTTCATAAGCTACTTCATAGCTTGGCCAAGATGTACCATCAACCAAGGTGTGACTAGTGAGTCCCACCACTGATTTAGTGAAAGGTAGGAGGACTTTGCTTTGATTAAGGTTCTGTGTATTTTTCTCACTCCTTCATTTCGCCTGATTCCCCGTGGAAAAATAACACACACCAGAGGAAAAAGAAAATAAAATCAAATTCTATGACTGCAACTGGGACTCTGCAACTCTACTTGGACCTTTATTGGTCTAAAGGTCCCGGCATTCTACGATGATATGAAATATTTAATATTCATATTAAAGCACATATGGGTACAGTAATCCCATTTGTGCATATGTTGGCGACAGCATTATAGTCCAGAACAGTAGCATGTAACCTAATTATTGTAATAATTGATGCACTCAGGTGCATTTAACTTTAAGTTTATTAGCTAGACCAATCAAATATGACCCATCAACTATAACTCTTTTTTGGGTGGGTCTAACACAGGGGTCAGCAACCTTTAACACCCAAAGAGCCATTTGGACCCGGTTTCCACGCAAAAGAAAACACTGGGAGCCGCAAATACTTTTTGACATCTAAAATGAAGATAACACCGTATATATTGTTTTTTTTACCTTTATGCTTTGTGTGAACAACTAAGGTGTGTTGCTTGTGAAATTCATGAAGTGTTACAGAGAAATTTACATTTTATTTATGTAATTAACACATTTTGAACTCTTAAAGAAATATAACAAACTGAACTAAAATGATCCATGTAGCAAACAAAAACTGTTGTGAGCTGCCACCCTTATATCGCCTTTGGGCTTTTGAAGCCTTGATCTGACTTTTAAAAAAAAAAAAATAATTGGAAAAAAAGTACTATGCTGCTAAAAAAAAGAAAAAAAAAGAAAAATAGATATTTGCAAAATTCTGCCTAAATATGTATTTTACCTGGTTAATGTGTGTGGCGGGGCGTGGTCTGCAGCGCCGCTGCAGGGGAGGCGAACGCACCTGAGCGGCACCCACAATCACGCCTCGCCGCCTTAACCTCTGTGCTATCTGTGTTGTTGTGTTGGTGTGTGTCGTGCTGTGAGCTGAAAAGCTACAGCCGGCTGTATGCGTACAGCAACCGTGTGTGAAAAGTGGCCTATAAAGAGGTGCTGAAAAGCATGTTCATGCAAACATCGTCGGGTCTGCTATGGTATGTTTACAATGGGACCTCTGCTCCTGAACCTCTGCGCACAGCGTCTGTACGAAGTCACTTCATCTTTACGCAGGACTGTAAGCTGTTGTCTGTGAGGCGTGAGCGGTGTTTGTTTTTAACATAGTCCACGGTGGAGAACAGCTGCTGACATAATGTGGATCCGAAGATCCATAATTGGCCTACCTGGGGTTGAAAGTCTCAATAAATGCACGCCGTTTCGGCGGGTACACCGGCTTCCGCGAGTGTGACGCTTATTTTGAGTGATGAAAAAAATAATAGAATATAATTTTATTTTTATATGTCAATATCACAATAATCTTCCAATTTAGAACTACAAGTTAAAAAAGAACTAACATAAATAAATTACATTTCAGCTAAATACTTCTAATTTATTTTCCCAAACCACGCAGTGCCGCACTATAAGGACTCAAGAGCTGCAGGTTGCCGACCCCTGGTCTAACATTTGCTATTGAAATGTCAGACACCAGTTTTGAATTCCATATAGAGTTACAAATCTTTTTTCTATTTTTGTATTCATTATTATATTCCAGTCAATCAACAGTATGTCTTATCAACCACCTTCTGCATTGATCACATTGATTAACTCTCCCCACGGTTATTTTGGATTGCAGTATTAAGTAGAAAGAATATCTACAAGAAACATCTTGGTTATGCTTAAAACTGTAGCCTAGGAAAAAGGAATTTTGAGATACCATTTGAGAGTCAACTAACTTTAGTGAAGAACAAGAACTGATCTGCAAGCTCCAATATACTGACCTTTAGTGAGTTGAGGGTGTCTCAAAGGATATACAAAATAATACTTCTTTTTTAAAAAAAAATGGCACAAGAAAATCCTATAGCAAGCAAGTGTTTCTGCCGACCACACAGTGATTGATCCGCTCTGCTGCTCTGAGACTAGCCAGCTTCATAGACTGTAACAGAATACATAATTAAAATTTAAAACTGACTAGAACTGATAAACCTGTAGCTCCTTCCTTCTTTCTCTTAGAGAAAGTCATTTTTCACACAAACTGCTTTATATAAATGTGAAAAAAGATTTAAGAACTGTTAATGATTTCTGAGACTGTATTCAATGTTTAACCAGGTCTAACATGCCTACAAGGTTTTGTGCTTCTTTTTCCATCTGAAACACTTTCACGAGAGATTACCTGTAACCATCTTGGGGCCTACAAACTGAAATTTTCTTATTATACTTAAAACTAACCTAAAAAAAGTGCCAATAGGCTCAGGGTTTTGTATTGAGGACAGAAGATCCCAGTGGTAGTTGGCTATGGTTGTACCAAAGCCCTTCACCAAGCTGTGACTACAAACACACGCACACAGTAGATGTATAATGGCCCACTTCCTTGTCTGTCTGCTCCAATGTGTGCGTTTGTTGTGCTTTTCATTTACAGCAGTTGCACTCCTCTGGCTGATATGTGCCTAGTTCTTCATCATTACGCAGAGCGTAGAGGCAGCTACAGTTTCTGAGCAAAACCAACGCCCCTCGACGTCCAAATTTGTCTCCAGTGCTGTAGCAATTCATCACAGACAGCAAGCTTTGCGCTCGCTACAACACACACAAACGCACGAGAGAGAAAAAATACACACAAGACAGAAAACAAGCAAAAAGGAGAAGATCAATCTATCGCAACCTGCAGTGTTCGCCTTCATGTGTAGTACTCCGTTTGACTCCAACCCACAAGAACATGAAACGCTTTGTGTGCCTCGGGAGGCGAGGAAAAACGAAACCCACTCAGATCTCCCGCCTCAGGAATATATGGGAGCAAAAACAGTCCAATTTTACACATCAATCAGATGCAACTCAAAAAGGCCGAGACAGAAAACTGCTTTATACAATGTAGACAAGAGGTTCTTTCAGACATCCCAACACTGAAAATCATAACATATATTTATATACTTA